AGCAACCTAGAACTAAGGAGAAACTTCCTGACAGTTAGAACAATTAACCAGTGGAACAACCTGCCTCCAGAAGCGGTGAATGCGCCAACACTGGAAGTTTTTAAGAAGAAACTGGACAACCATTTGTCCGAAATGGTATAGGGTTTCCTGCCTGAGCAGGGGGTTGGACTAGATGACCTCCAAGGTCCCTTCCAACTTTATCATTATTATTATTATTAAATTATCCAACTATGACAGTTTTAAAGAACCGAACTCTTGGGATTGGCAAGGGGTTACTGTAACTTTTTAAATAAAGCTAACTTTTTCTATTGAGTTTATGGCTGTGAAAATATGATTAGAAAGTCATTACAGTTTTGACTTAAATCTTTAGAAGGAATTTTTTAAAGTGTCAAATCCTTTTTTTTATTGTTTTATTTTTCTTTTGTTTAGAACAAGCTTTTCCCACAAGCCATTTCTTATTTAGAGAAGGCATTTCAAGTTCGGAAACCTATGGGTACTGTCCTGTTAAGTAGGTATGTATATTTTTCAGCAATTTTAATAAGGAGAATTAGTGAGATCTATTTTTACAAGTACATTCCATATGTCAGCATATTATTATTTATCTCTGGAAGAGCTCAGTTTTAATTAGCAACTTAACATTTTGACAATACTTAATAGCTTTTACAATTAGGGTATTGTTTTGTGTGTGACTATTATGTGCATTCATCTCACTCACAAATATGTGATTATGATTTAATTGAAGACAGTGTGTAACAAACCAATATTTAAGGAAGAAGGATGATCCTCACAGATACTGTCGAGAAGCCTGTGCAGAACATACCAAGTGTGGGCCAGTTATAGTCCCTGAAGAACATCTGCAGGTAACTCAGACTTATTTTATGATGTGTAGATCAAATCACACAGGAATATTTATGCCAACAAAATATGCAAAGCTCTTTTAGAATTTGGAAATGTTGCTCTCTAGAATATTTTGAAAGCTATCAAACTCTTTTTCTTTGCCACAAGCAGTGGTATAAAACCTTAAAAATAATTAGTATGGAATCTTAATTCAAATGTTTCTTCAGCCTAAGAAAGAAAAGTAGGAAATGCGTACGTTTTAGAGTTAAAAGAAAGAAACCAATTTGGTTTAGTGGTGAAACCATGGGGTTAGAAGCCAGCAGACCATGAGTTCTAGTCCCACCTTAGGCTTGGGTGTCTTTGTGCCAGACTCTCTTGCTCTCCGCCCAACCCATCTGACAGGGTGGGGAAAATAGGAACAGGAAGGTATGTTTCTCGCCTTGGGTTATTTATAAAAATAATAAAGGCAGAATATAATTTAAATAAAGAAACATTTGAAGACTATTTGACCCTGATTTCTTGAAATGTAATGTCTTAGCAATGTAGGGTATGTAATACAAATGGACGGAATTGTCAAACTGTTGGCAAAGCAGACCAGGACGGCGTTCGAGATGCTGATTTTATACTGTATGTTAGTGCTCTGACTACTGAAAGATGTGGCCAAGAAAACATTATCGCATACGCGGCATATTGTCAGCTAGAAGCAGATATGGACAGGTAATCTCCAAGCTAACTTTAACTAATTTGATGAAATGTTCTGAAAAGACTTATTTGCCATCCAGGCCAGGGTTTGATCAGATTTCTCCAAGGGCAAGTATAGTGAGTGATCTATCATTAGGCGTCACAACTAGTTTTCACAACTGGCTTCTTTTTTCTAAAGTCATTGTTTCCTAATCTTAGAAAGTTTGGCTCAGGAGGGGAGCTACAGACCTCAAGTATTTCCAGTGAAGATTTATCTGCATGCATTCTGTTTTAAGCAGTGAGAGAGGGAAGGGTGGGCGATGTAGCCAAAGAGTCAGAAAGACATACAGTAAAATACCCTACCACACTCACTTCTTCCCTGCTGATCTTATTTATTTATTTATTTATTTATTTATTTATTTATTTATTTATTTATTTATTTATTTATTTATTTATTTATTTATTTATTGTTTATATTTATATCCCGCCCTTCTCCTTACGGACTCAGGGCGGCTAACAACCAGATAAAAATACAAAATATCAAAACTACAGATTAAAGCATAATTTATTTATTTATTTATTTATTTATATTTGGATTTGTATCCCGCCCTTCTCCCGTAGGACTCAGGGCGGCTGACAATCAATTAAAAACATAAATAACAGTACAATTTAAAATTTAATTAAAAAGAATATTTAAATATTTGTCAAATTTAAAATATAATTAAAACCCCTCTAAAAATTACCCTAGGCCAGTCCTGCAAG